TTACACAAACATACACACACAAACACACACACGCAAAATATCTTCAGTCATCACATCGCAACCACCGACAACATCAGTACCGTTGTTACTTCTTTTCCAACGCGTAGCAGAGAACTCCTTAACAAGTCACTCGAAACGCTTCGCAAGGAACCGCAAGCGAATTGCAGCGTAAAAATCATTGGCAATTCAATTGACGGCATGTACGTTAATGGACCTACTACATCTGCGTGTGTGTGTGTGTCTGTTTGTGTTGTTAAATGCGTTCTTTATTTCTGTATATTGCTTGCATGCAACTGTCTAAGCATGTTTCTGTGCGTGTGTGTGGGCGCGTGTGTAATTGTGCGTGTGTGCTTGCGCGTGTGTGTTTGCGTTTTTGTTAGCTTAGTTAGTTGGTTCATTTGTGCACGTTTATGTTTTTAGAATTTGTAAGATTTGTTTTTAATGTTTGCAGTACGTACGAGCAGGTAATACTTGTCTGCCTCTCCTAAAAATGATGTCTGCACGTCTGTATTTGTGTTTGTGTATGCTTGTTACTATTCTACTCTCTTCATGTCAGTTGGCTGTGAGACCATTCGTGAATCTCTCTATGCATTACTTTCAAGCTTTTGTGAACATCCATTCATTCACCATTTGATCACCGTTCCATTTATAATTTCAAACAACTCGAACACCAGCATGAGATTGTTATTTGCGATGTATCTGTGTGTTGTTGTAGCTGAATGTTCGCCTGCTGCTCTCTCGTTCCTTCGCGATCTGCTTAGAAACGTGACGAAAATCGTTTTGTCATCTCCCATTCGGCTGACAGGCCACTCGATAAATCAATGGAAATCTATTTTGGAATAATGTCTGTCACATCAAATCTCAATCTCAAGGTGATGACCACTCTGGATCTGTGATTCGTGCAAAGCTAGCTTTTTTTCGTAGGGCATTGTCGTCTGTTTGGATGAATGGAAGATGAGTTTTGAAAATTTGTGGTTCTATGTTTGCTTTTTTAACTCGAGCTGTTTCAAAGCTTTCTGTTGTAGATTGAAACGTTTAAGTTTGTACGAAGCAATTGTCCTTTGAAGAAATTAAACGTCGCTTTATACATTTTAATGATTATTTTATTCGAATGTTACGTTGTATAAAATATACTCGGCAAACGTCGTCAGGGTCTGAAAACTCTGAGTTCCTAAAAAATATTATGGAATAAGTTTAAATAAACTTTAATATTCTTTCCAGATGACATTTTTCAGTGAAAAATGAAAAAATGATGAGCATGATGTGGGTGGAGTTTAAGTCTATTGCTAGGATGTTGGCAGATATTGTAAAACAGGATGATTGATTGGTCTGAATAGTTTTTTTTTTAATTTCTACACGTTCGACAAAAACATCGAGTCGGGATTATTTTTATTTGTTTTTGTTTCGGCAAGAATCTTTGTAGAATTTAAGAGTGATGCTAAAATTGTCAAAAAATGTTCACTTCTAACTTCACCTGTTTCCAACTCATTAATATTTACAACTTATGGAACAAAACTCTCGTTACAAAATCATAGTTTTAATAACTTAAACATAAAACACGTTGCTAAATAATGTATATTAATTAATAACAGCTTCAAAAAAATTAACTAAATGGAGTTAACCTTTCGTAGAATTAACACAAGAAAACGTCATCAATAACAACAACTGAAAAACACACATACACGCATACACGCACACACACACATACACGCACACACGCATGCAGCAATAACGCAAAAGCGTCTATATTCCTTCAAATTGACAGGTAGATGTTGTTATTACATTGTATTACGTTGACATCAATAATTCATTCGCTCTTTCAATTTAATTTTTAGAATTCTTTCTTTAGAAACGTATGTGCTGTGTGTGCGCGCGCGTGTGTGGATGTGTGTGTGTGTGTATGTAAGTGTGTGTGGATGTGTGTTTGTGTGTGTGTGTATGTGCGTGTGTGTATGTGTGTTTGTGTGTGTGGTACGTTTGATGTTTCTGAGTTTATCTTTCTGGATGACGTCTCAATTGTTGGTTTAACTTTTTTATGGATTCCCACAACTTCTAACTTTTTCACTAATCTCCAGATTTTTAATATTTATTCTATTAGTTCTTTAATTAATAATCTATATATCTAATTAAATGAAAAAAAATTCAATCAATCAATCGATCGATCGATCAGTCAGTCAGTCAGTCAGTCAGTCAGTCAGTCAGTCAGTCAGTCAGTCAGTCAGTCAGTCAGTCAGTCAGTCAGTCAGTCAGTCAGTCAGTCAGTCAGTCAGTCAGTCAGTCAGTCAGTCAATCAATCAATCAATCATTCATTTAGTTTGTTCGTTCGTTCGTGTTCGTTCGTTTGTTTGTTTGTTTGTTCGTTTGTTCATTCATTCATTCAATCATTCATTCATTCATTTGATCAATCAATCAATAATTCATTCATTTATTCAATCAATCATTCATTCAATCAATCAATCATTCATTCATTCAAACAATCAATTCAATCAATTTATTCATTCATTAATTCATTCATCCATCCATCCATCCATCCTTGTGAATGCAAATAGCGATCCATCATTGTTTTTACCGGAGCGTCTATAGCAATAAAGTCGGTATCAATTATTGTTCATTTGCATCGTCGTCATCATCATCACCACCTTCATCATCAACATCATCATCAACATCATCACCACCATCATCTTCATCATTATCATCATTGTCATCATCATTATTATCATCATTATTATCATCATTATCACCATCATCATCGTGTTTATTTGTTTGTGTGTGTTGGTGTGTGTGTTGGTGTGTGCGTATGTATGTGTGTTGGTGTGTGCGTATATGTGTGTGTTTGTGTGTGTGTGCCTTGATAACAATAATATGATGAAGATGATAAAAAAAATGATGATAATTAAGATGACGATGAAGGTGTGGGCTGTGATGATGACGATCGCTGTTATGGTAATGATCTAGTAATGTGATGGTGATGCTGATGAAGATGATGGAGGAGGCGATCGTGATGATGATGAAAGAGGTAGAAACAATCTAATAAACGTTAAGTTGAATAAATATTAATACAAGTACAAATACAAAAAATGCAACAACAACGAATAATAATAATATGGAATAATGCGTGTATGTGTGCGTGCGTGTGTGTGCGTGTCTGTGTGTGTATTTATTCCAGCTGATATTGATACTTCAAGTTTGACAGGTGAATTCTAAAGATAAGTCAAAAGAGCAGAATATAATGTGTAAGGTTTACCTTATATGTACTAGCATAAGTCATATGATGAATGTTGATGTATTCTGATGTACATAAATCACCGCAAAAAGAATAAATGGAACAATTTTATTTTTATTAAATTTTAGGAGCAATGAAAAAACTGTTAAAATTCTTCTCATGATGATATATTCAAGTTTTTTAATTGATAAATACTTTCATTAACACAAAAACTACATACGACCACACATAACTACACACAACCACACATAGCTACATACGACCACACATAACTACACACAACCACACATAGCTACATACGACCACACATAACTACACACAACCACACATAGCTACATACGACCACACATAACTACACACAACCACACATAGCTACATACGACCACACATAACTACACACAACCACACATAGCTACATACGACCACACATAACTACACACAACCACACATAGCTACATACGACCACACATAACTACACACAACCACACATAGCTACATACGACCACACATAACCACGTACTAAATCACATGAACCAACAACTCAAAAATAGAAAAAAAAATTCGCAATTAAAAACACCTAAAATAGGAGTGAATGAGAAATGACTCTGGGTTTATCCCTGTGAGTTGACGTACGACGAGAAGTCGCACGAGTCTGACTCGTCCGTATAGCCATATTTCTGACCTGCTACATTATTCAATTAAACTTTTTTGAGGTTTAAATTGTGTTTACTGTGTTATTCCCCGTATTTTTTCACGATAAATTTGGCATTTTTTACTGGTTTTAAATTGTTTTCATGTGTTTTTTTTTCAAAAACAAAATGTGTCATGGAGTTTCTTTGTTGAAAACAAACTGTTCAATTAAAATTTAAAAGAGAAAATAACTCAATTCTTCCCAGCAAACACAATAAACAAATTTTCTTGCAGACAAATCTCAATAAATCACCAGAGAGTCGCCAATCCAATCCTATCACTATGTATGACACTTTGAAATCAAAGCAGTTTTAAATAATTTTGAAGATGTTGAGAGCTTCGCGAGCCAAAAATTAAATGGAAACCTTTCAATTAACTGAAAGTTGATCTGCCAATTGAACGATGTGAAGAATAAAAGTGGTAATTTATGATTTAAACGATAATGAAAGGCCATTACTACTACTACTACTACAACTACTATTACTACTTCTACTACTACTACTACTACTACTACTACTTCTACTACTACTATTACTACAACTTCTACTACTACTACTACTACTACTGCTGCTGCTGCAGCTACTGCTGCTACTAGTACTACTACTATTAATACGACTGCCACAACTACTACTATTACTACCACAACAACTACTACTAATACTGCTACTGCCATTACAACAACTTCTACTACTGCTACTACTACAACTTCTACTACTGCCACCACTACCCTGAAAACATTTGCATACACGAGCAAACAAACAGATATCTACAATATCTACATCGCAGAGTTTTTGTATGCGTACGTGCGGTCGCATGTTCTTGTGTGCTTACATTGTCTGGGAATACATGAACTAAATAATATTGTATTTTTTTTTTATTTTATTTATCTTTATTACATTTGTCAGATTGTATCTTGTTTGACTGAACTCAAACCAAGGACAATGCAATAAAAGTAAATTTTCAAAACGAAATCTAAATTTTTTTTCGTTCAGTTTCGTGAGTCAGTGTGTTATTATTCAATTCATTTCCAACATCATTGTAGAAGCAATTTTCATTGCAAATCACACAAAGCCCATGTGAGCACGTGTCAATCTACCAGTCTGACTGACATGTGATAGGTGAAAATCTGTTTGCATTTGAAGCCAGGCAATGTTACAGCAAGACCAAACGCCTTAGCCACTACACCAATACCGGCTCTATTTTTATCATTATTAGCGCTGTCGTCATCACTGCCTCTAGCAATATCGTCATCTTCGATCATTGTCATTTTATCCTTGTACGATTTCAAGTTTGTATTTGCTCTTGCACACGGAACATTATTGAACTGTTTGTGTGTGTGTGTGTGTGGACGTGACGTGTGTGTGCGTGCGCGTGTACTATGTGTACGACAAATTATGTAACTAATCAGCATGTAACATGTGTTTGTGTGTGTGTGTGTGCGTGTACGCGTTGGATTAAGTTCATAAGTTAGTTACTATGAGTAGAAACTTAAAAATGTATACCAAATACCTTAATTAATTTTTTGAACCGAAAACAATGTAATTCTTATATAAGATAAGACATATTACATAGTATCACAACTCCCTAGCATAATTCCAACTCACTGAACTATGTAAAGAGTTCAGCGTTCAAACTTGTTCCTCTAACTGAAACTATCATTTTTATCCATTATCCTTTTCAATGCTCCTAATAGAATAATTTTTTGTCTAGAGTTATTCCGAAAAATGTGATGTTTTTGAGGCATTTCTTCCTAGAATTCATCAGCTGATAGTTTTTTTGATTTTTTTTTCACTCCTGGATTTATTACATTACTAAACCTGAAAAAACCTTATCGCAAGAAAATTATTGCTGTATCATGTGTTTAGATACTTCTTATAAAAAAATGTTCTCTTATCTATGTCTATGCGAATTGCATGGGACTTTAAGTTTTTACATTGTTTATTTACTAAGGTGTATAACAATCACTCAATCACAGAATCTTGATTTAATTAATAAAAAAATTAAAAATAATAGCAAAATTGTTGTTAAAGGAATATTTTTAAATTTTTGTTAAATGAAATAAAAGAAGAATAGCAGTGAGTATTATAGACTCGAATAGTTTCGATTTATGTTATTCATTGTTAGCATAACATTATTTCGATATATTATTTTTATTATGTTTGGTATGAGATGCCATAGTTATTTTATTACGTAAATTAATAATGATTAAGCAGGGTTGAGATTTATTAAATTAAAATTACATATATGAAGAAGTTTAAAAATTAGAGAAAACATTTCACAGCATGCTCTGATGAAATTTAAATAAAACATGCTTAAAAAACTGAAGTGGCTAAAAATAAGAATTGTGAATTTCAAAAAAATTTTCAGTAGAAATGGAAAAATGAGTGAAAAGAATAAAACTAAAATAGCCGCATACTAACTACAAAGTGTTAAGACACTTGGTAAAGTTTATTTTTAAGAAACCAAAATAACTTTTCTCTTCCGTAATAACACTAGTAGTGCTGACTGCCATATAACATGTGATCTGTGATCATTATGTATTTTGGTGTGCCGATTCCAAAAATCATATCCATTTTAATCAGTCACGTCTACTTTTTGCTCAAAATGAAAAAAAAACCGAATCGATATTACCATTGATAAGTGTATAGATAATGTTATAAAAAATTAACAATGTAGAAAACAAATGCATAAATACTATATGAATCTATAAAAAATGAAATATAACGAACATTACTGGATGAACCACTTGTCAGTACTCCAAGAGTGTTGCTTCCTCCTCTACATATAAAATTCAGACTAATGAAACAGTTCGTCAGAGCTTTGGATCAATATAGACTGTGCTTCAAATATTTGTGTACTTAATTGTCTACTCTATCTTGTGAAAGATTGAAAACTGGTATATTTGATGGTCCACAAACTAGGTTCCTGATCAAAGACAAAGAGTTCATTAAAACCATGAAAAAATAGAAAAACATGCTTGGTCTGCTTTGTCTGATACGATTAGAAATTTTCTAAGAAACTTCAAATCTTTAAGCGTAGAATTTGTTGATGACTTTTCATAAACTGGCAGCAAACATGAGCGTAAAATTGCATTCTCTTCATAGCCACTCACATGACTTCCCATCAAACCTGGGAGCCATAGGTGAAGAAGGACGTTTCCACCAAGACATCAAAACAATGAGCGTAGATAGCAAGACAGATGGGACATAAGAGTGATAGCAGACTGCTTTTAGTGTGTACACTGTACAGCGTGAAAAGCCTAATAAAAAATATTCAAAAAAATCAAAATAGAAAAACTTCCATCCTATTAATTGAATTTAATTGTTTCAATGGACAGATTCGTTTTATAGAAGAAATAAATAAATGAAACTATAGATAAATTTTATTTGTTAAGTTGTTATTGTTACATTGTATTGATTTATTACGAACAATTTCTTAATGTACATCAATGTTAATTTGGTTAAAATCTCGATAAAAGAACTATCATTTGTGCCAAAATTTGACATTTCACATAATTTTTTTTCTCATTTAGACCAGTGTATCAAGGTCTTTTCCGAAGCAGCACTTTGTAAACTTTATAAAACTTTTCACAAGCAATTCAAACAAAATTTCACTGTTATTTTAATTTAGAAAAATTGTTCAGATGTTTGAATAAAATAAGAGACTATGATTTCACACCAATGTGTCGTTGTCTCGGGAGCAAAGTTGTATTTAACTGAGTAGTTGGGGAAAATTGTTAAACGAGTTCAGTTTAAAATGTGTTGAATATATGAATTAGGCTAAACTGGAATAGAAAAAACATAATATAACACAACAGAACGCACCTATNAATTTAAAAATTGAAAAGCATGACTTCAAAATTATTAAAATTTGCTGAAATGAATATTTTAATTAAGAATATTTTAATTAAGTTAAGTTATGAAAATGTAACACACAAAAATCACAAACAAAGCTTTGCAAGCAATGCAACGCTACAAACACGCGGTGAAATTTCCAATTTAGGGGCAAACATAATGGAAAGATATAAATAAGAAATTTCATGACGACAGGATGGAATGGGAGGAGGGAGAGGTTGTTGCCGCCTGCTCTCTATGCTCTGAACTGTCCGCTGAATATTTTTAAACATGCCAAATCAAACTTTTCAAATTTTATTTATATATTTATTTTTATATTATTAATTAATTAATCAATTAGTTAATTTAATTATTTTATTTCCATTTCAAAGATGTGTATATGTTTTTATTTTCATTGATTAAGAACATTTTGATAGAGGCTTACGGGTTTTTATCGCCGGCGCTAATAAATCTCTATGCTATTTTCAAATGTTATGTTGAATTGAAATTAAACGACAATTAATAAGCAAAAACGAAAAAAATTAAACAGAAATAAAACAAAATAAGAAAATAAAATAAGAAAAATAAAGACCAACAGAAGATAAGGCGAGTGGGGAGTAGTAGGAAGACCTGTTGTTTCAGCGTACGGCTAGAATATAATAAAAAATAAAAATAAAAATTAAAAAAATTAAAAAAAGACACAAAAATTATATAATTAAAACTATTTTACATTTCCGAGAAATATTTCATGTCTGCTTTGCAACTACACGCATTCTCCTGACATCGTGAATATTTTATTAGTGAAAAAATCCAATCAATCATTTTTTTCATATATCCAACTTACTCTATAGGATTTTAGCAGGGCTTTAATAATAGAGTAAGCGAGCGACTAATTGCGGAAAGTTTGAATGGAAGTATGTTCCACCAACGTGTGTCTGTATGTGTGTGTGTGTGTGTGTGTGTGTGTGTGTGTGTGTACATGAATTGTATGCGTGCGTGCGAGTTGTTTGTGTGTGCGTGTGCGCGCGCGTTTTAGGCCTACGCATGTGTTGTGTGTATGTGTGTATGTGTTTTGTTATGAATGTGTTGGGTTTTGCATGTCATTTTCTCGTTTTAAGAAATTTTTTTAGCTTGGTGTCACATAGCATGAGTTTGAACGCAAGATCGTCACCTTTTAAATTATTGTAATCATTATTATCTGCGTCACCATCGTCATCATCTTCACCATCACCACCATCATCATCATCATCATCATCACCATCATCTTTACTATCATCTTCACCATCACCACCATCATCATCATCATTATCATCACCATCATCTTTACTATCATCTTCACCATCACCACCATCATCATCGTCGTCATCATCGTCAACAACAACATCATCATCATCTATTTATTTACAACGTATTAATAAGATGATTTTACATTTGGCAGCGAGTTCAACAAACTGAGAGTGAGAAATATTTGACCTGGATCATCATCATCATCAGCACCATCATCATCAGCACCATCAGTATCAGTAGACACCACATGATAAGATCTTCTTCATTATACTTTTACATGCGAGTCCCACCTATTTCGAGATGTTAACAACGTTCTGATGCCATTCGTCCAACCAGTCTAGGTCGTAATTTCGTTTCGATCACTCAAATTATCAAGTTTTAACAATTTCAACTTTTAATTTTTGTCAACTCGAGAGGTTGTTTAATCAGTATTTTAAAATACATCAAACAAATAGCTGAAGAAAGTCTACTATTAAGCACTTTTAAGACACAAGTCACTGACTTTAATATGAAATACAAGATTCGAACGGCGAAGCAAATGTGCCCACCATGGTATCAAATATTCATCAACATTAAGATTGGCAACATATAAAAACACACACACAAACACACACACACATATATATATATATATATATATATACACATACAGACACACACATAGAAAAACAATGGAGAAATGAAGAAATAACATTCTTTAAAATTTTTAAAAGATGGATAACCGTAAATGTACTTTGAACAGCACCACAACAATATGTTAAAAGATAAATTTCTTTGGCAAATTAATAATTAACAGACCAAATAGCCATATTCCATTCATTTCATATTGCGAATTATAAACCCTTACTGAAAAATTTACCAAATCACCAAAAATTGTCACTTGGCTCTGACACTTTATTCTCAACTAATAAATTTGAAAATCTTTCGATTCATTATTTAGATTTGTGTTCATATAATTAAATATTATTTATGTTTTGAATGTCCTACTTTTTAGCCTGATGTCTGATTAACAAACTAACATTTGGCACATTAATATTGTGAACAACTTTGGAAGATATATGTAGAAAGTTACAATTTTGAGCATTTGTGTGAACACACACACACATACATATATACACACACAAACACACCACACACACACACACACAAACCCATATACAAACACAATCATTCTGACACATAAAATCAAACACACACACACACAACGTAGTGACACGAACAAGTGCACACAATTTTTGGCTGGGCTGTGACACAAACACAGACACACACACACACACAGTTACACACACACACACACACACACACACACAGTTACACACACACACACACACACACACACGTCAACAACATCTCATAAACTATCAAAACATGAATGCCACACATCAGATTAAAAGACGCTGACGAGGTTGAGCCCACAACGAACGACTTTCATTTTGCCACTTAGCAGAAAACGCACGTAAGTTCAACGACTTGTATATGACATCATGACCTTTGTTTGCCATAGACAATGAGTAAAAATTCAACTAAAAAGGAAGCAAACAAGTTAATTGTTTATTATTTATTTAGATAAATAAGAATAAATAAATATATACTTATGTTCTTATATTCATTCATGTGTGTTTCTGAAAAAGAGAGAGAGAGAAAGAGAAAGTGTGTGTGTGGTGTGTGTTGTGTGTGTGTGTGTGTGTGTGTGTGTGTGTGTGTGTGTGTGTGTGTGTGTGTGTGTGTGTGTGTGTGTGTGTAGATAGTCATTTCCTTTAACATTGTTTTACTAAACATAACACAAATTATCGTGAGCTTTTTTTTTAACCAAAATCTAGAATGATTATTTTTCGATTTTTCATCGGTTGATATCAAAGGCATATAAATTATAGAGACATTTATAACTCTGGATCTCTTAATTTTGCCAGCCAAACAAACGCTGTAACCTAATCTATAAAAAAAAATCAGCCTAACGTTATCTGAGTCTATCTGGGTAAGAAAATCAAAAAAATTTCAATTAGATAGCAACAATCATGATAGAATAATGATCATTATTCCAAAAAATTAAATGATATTCGTTAAAAAATTGTCAATTTTTGGTTCTCGAAGTCCTTATAAAAGTTGTAAAAAAGAAAAAATATCAAGTTTTGAATTTTGAAAGCCATTCAGGAAAATTTAATTATTTTTTTTACACCACAACAAATTACTAAATTTAAAAAACTTATTAAAAAATTTGTTTCATGTAAAAAATTTTTTAACCAATCACATGCTCACCAATCAACTTCAAATAATTTTTTCTACGGCCAATCGAAATTAAATTTTATCACAAAAATTTACATGGAAATACCAGTCACGTGACTGTAATTATTTTGTCCATAAATTATATTTTTATTTCTAACTTATAATTACATTTTGATTTTTTTGAGATTCCATCGTAAATACGTTACAGAAAAATCGGCATGAATGTTTTTTTTAGAAAATATTTGTTGAACTTTTTTATTTAGTAATTAGTGAACCAAAGTTAATGTAAAAATATTTTATAAATTTTCAAACTGGATTAAAAATTTTCTAGGTTCATTTGAAAAGTTGTCTTTTTTTTGGAAATTTGAAACTAAATTATCAAACAAACCAAGTTTATTTAATATTCAAGATGCACCCATCGTCCCAAAAGCTGGCTGCTTACAATTGGATACAAATTTTTTAAAGAACTTACTATGAAGATAGGCTTATAATGCACAATGAGAACTTTAAAATTGTATTACAAACAGCTGAACACACTAACAGCTGGCCACACAAACGACTGGCCACACAAACAGCTTACCTCTTTAAAAAATGTGAACATTTTCATTCGCAAAAACGTTTTGTTCAGCCAAATCGGTCGCAGTATACATTGCAAACAGTATGATCAGTATGACGCAGGGCTAGATCAGTACGTGCCAATTGACAGAAGCATAAGACACTCAAACAATGAAACACGTATCGTTTGCTACATCAGTCATCCAATTGTCAAAATGAAGTGCAGTAGTGAATGCAAAACTATCCCAAAATCTTCGGCTCAAGAATACCGATGAAAATACTTTTCGCAAAAATTCAATATCATTCAAGATTGAGCAGCAATTAAGTTTAGTGAACGAATTTATGAGACCTAAGAAAATGAGAAGCCGTATGCAATAACTTAAAACAATGAACAAACACAACCGAGGCATGCGAGTTAAACAAACCAGTGCATCAACCATACGCATAAAACATCATTTATTATTATTGTGAACCACTCAAACATTGACTTATAAAACTGAAAACAAGAATTTGATTGCGACACAAACCTCAGAATGAACAAATGAACCTCAAACGCCAGATAGAAAGCAAGGAACAATAATCTGCGAACAATGAAGCATCATCCCACATGCAGTGAAGTCTGATTAGGTTCATAAATACCATCTAAACAACATCGTCCTACTCGTACCACGTCTGTGTGCGTGTGATTGGTGTGCGTGTACGTATGTGTGCGTGCGTGTGTGTGTGTGCGTGTGTATGTGTGTCTGTGGTGTGTGTGTCTAGCATGGAGAAAGAGTTTTTTTTTTCTTTTCAAATTGATTCTATTGTTTACATCAACAACTTGAGACGTGTCTCAGCAACATATAGGGAAGGGATGCGTCTCGCGACTGCTGCAGAACAGATTGCAAACAGTAAAGAACAATATTCAAATAAAACCAACCGAAAGATAAGATATTTTGAGATATTTTATTTTTGTTAATTTTATTGTTTAAGAATTAGTTTTACAAATTTCTTATTTTATTCTTATCATCTATTGTTACTGAGTTCCGATTTTCAGGAACAAAAAAGCCAAAAGGTTTTTGTTCATGGAAAACGTGCGTGAGTATAAAACTAAATTCTAAATTTTAAAAATTAATTTTAAATCCAAAGTTAATTTTAACCCAAAATGTGACTTAAATATTTTTCTAATGAATAACTTTTTCAACTTATTTCAAAATTTCCTATATTTTCACTTAAATAGATTTGTTTCACGTTCAAAATTAATACATTTTAGAACATAGAACCGCGGAGCAAACAACTTGTCTCAGTTCATCTTCAGGTAGCAATCTTGTCCACTTATTCTGGGCGTCAAATTAATATACAAAGCATTTGTCATCAGACAATATGTATAAGTACGCCGGCATTAATGTTCTTTTTGTAGTCACTTCATCATTGCACAAAGAAATATATACGTGATTGTTTGTCTTACTTTAGCTACACATCATCATCATTGTGAGTGATTCTCTACTGCTTTATTTATTATCATTCGAAAGAGGATCTCTTTGGAAAGAGTTGGGTTAAAGTAAAAAAACGCTTGAATATAATTCTTAGAAGATTAAAAATTTGATCAACATATTTCATCAACAGTTGCCAAATAAATTTTATTCAGGGTTTCGTGTCTTTTGTTAGAAACTTTCATTTTGTAGAGTGATTTTTCGAAATTGGAATGCAACGAGATATCGAGTATAATTGTCCAAATATTCGTTTATGAGTATATAAATGTGTTTGTGTATGTTTAGGTGTATATGCAGACGAGGGTTTTGGCTATGTGAATGTGGTTTTGTGTGCCTAATAGTGCGTGTGTGTTTTGCATGTGTGTAAATGCTTGCAACTCAATGTATGTATGTGTGCGTGCAGTTGGCCAGGAATGGATGTGTATGTATGCAGTGAAGGATTTTATACCGAAACGTTAGCCACCATATGTAAGTTTTCCCTACACGCCACTGTATGCATGTGAGTATGTTTGTATGTGTAAAAGTTTGTGTATGTGAGTTTGTGTATGTGTGAAAGTTCGTGTATGTGTGTAGTGTGTATGTGTGAGAGTTCGTGTATGTGTGAGAGTTCGTGTATGTGTGTAGTGTGTAAATGTGTGAGACTGAGTGTGTATGTAAGTGAGTGTGTGTGTATGTGTGAAAGTTCGTGTATGTGTGTGTGTGAGAGTTCGTGTGTGTGAGTGTGTGTAAATGTGTGAGACTGAGTGTGTATGTAAGTGTGTGTGTGTGTATGTGTGAGAGTTCGTGTGCGTGTGTTTGTGGTGTGTGTGGGTTTGTGAATGTGTGTGGTGTGTGGGTGTGTGGTGTGTGGGTGTGTTTAAGTTGCCGCCCGGGACAGTGGGATGAATGGTATGAGATAGGAACGTGATGTTATTCCATTGAAAAAGATTCACGAGCTAATGCGTACATCGTGCTAATGTGGACCTGTGTATATATTCTCGTTTATATTTCGTCTCGTTTCGTCTTTCCGTCTCGTTTCGTTTCTCAAACTTTAAGGCACACGTGAGTGCGTATGTAAGTACATGTATTATATATTAAATGTATGTGAGTATATATATGTTTCTATATATATACAAATGTATATACACACATGCAAACACACACGCACATAGAATTTGTGTGTGTGTGCGTGCGTGTAGATATAAATGATACAAACACAATACCCCGTTCGCCATACGGCAGTTATTACCGAGATATTTATCATTGTAAATGCGGTTTAAATTGAATTTATTATTTACATGCACCAATAATCTAGGCATAAATGTTTTTATGAACGCGCGCGCATTGTAATGCATATTACATAACAACGAATATGTACGTATATAGACATACAAATGTATGTAATTATGTGGATGTATTAGCAGTTTTGTATATATTTCTCTCTATTTGTCTCTCTCTTTGACTCTCTCTTTGTCTCCCTCTCTCTCTCTGTCTCTTTCTTTATACATGCATGTATGTATGTTTATATGTATGTTTATATATGTGTGTATATTTATATGTAAGTTGTGTATTTTTATACATAGATGTATTGTATATACTGCATAAGATATCTGGCAAGGTTGCTTTCAGAACAAATAAAAAAAGCTATTTATTGATCGCGGCTGGAAGCTAAGGAAGCTGTGTTGATGTAGTTGTTGTTGTTGTGGTGGGTGTTTTTGTTTTGATGTTGTTGCTGTTGTTGTTGTTGTGTGTGTAGTAGATGGTGTTATTTATCTGGGTGCTGTTGTTGTTGTTGTTGTTACTGATGTTGTTGTTGGTGGTGGTGGGGTTGTTGGTAGTGTTGTTGTTGTTTTTG